TATCGAAATTCATCTCTGTCATTTGATCCGTTCGCACGCTGCAATAAAGTCTCCGGTTTGCCCATGGAGGCAACTGGATTGAACCGCATGCTCTTGATAATTTCGACCTCTGTCAAACTTGTGGGAAGCAACTGCTCAGGGTAATAGGGAACTGGATTTTCTTGGAACTCGTCAATACAATCATCAAAAGCTAGTGCATCATCACCAGCATCGCAAAGCGTTCGCCAATACAATGTGTCCGGCCTGTCATGAGAGTATTGTAATTGGTGTGACCTTTTTTGCCCAAATTTAGCGGAATATTCTTCGGCTCAGACTGAAACTGCGAATCAATCCAACGCACTTGGAAGAGGAGTGGTGTTCGCTGGTTTGATGCACTATTGGTTTGCCTATTCTTGTCCCCTTTTTTTTTTTTTTTGACTTAACGGTAGTGCAGATGCGGCCGACAATATATGATGTTCCAACTTTTTTGTAGACCTTTCCCTTCATCCAGCTTTCACGAGACGGAGATAACGCCACGGGCGTATTAACGTAAAGGGATGGTACAAACACTGCAGGTCCACGACTAGCACGAGGAGCTGGAGATGATAGCGGCATTACTCCGTCTGAGTTTGACGTCCCTGCTAGAAAAAGCGAAGCAATAATATGAAAACTGTAAACACATCTATGACGTAAATCTGAATCAAAGCCTTACCTCCCCTAGTGGTGATGGCACTACCATTGGGTGGGTTGCTTGTTTCTTCGGTAAAAACCCATCCACCATTGTTAGTGCACTCCGATATATGTACCACCGCCGATTCATGAATTGGAGTAACCACCTCTCCAAGTGTTGGCAGTCGATGATATTCGTTTAGTGGGACCTCTGTATTGCATGCATCACTCATATCGGTTAGTGATGAGCAAAACAACATCCGTTTGTGACTTTCAAGGCAAAAATTCAAGCTTTGATAGTTTGTACCTGGTGAGACCCTGGTGTCAGCCGTATAGTTCTGGTACGGTATAGTTTGACCTCTATCCACTTGCCCAACACCAAGTACTTGCCTGCCGTTGTCTTCCACACTCTATTGAAAACATTCTTGCTGGGTCTCGCCTCCACTGGCCTGATGAGCGACTGGGATAGCGTCAAGAAATTAGTTTACTTCACTCTGACCGATTTCGGTCTGCTAACCTGACGGAGCTTCTAATTGCGTGTTTCGTTTCGAAACAGTACTGTTACCAGGTGGAGCTGGCTCCAAGTCACCGTTACCCCCCCCCCCCCTTTGAACGCAGGCTCGTGATCTCGCTGTGAAGACTAGTGGAAATGTCCGGTCCTAGAACGCTGGGGCCATCGCTGCTTACATCCCTATCTTGTGCTGGAACTGAAGAGACGGCACCGCTCGACAAATGCTCGAAAACAATGTTATAAAAAA